GTCAACCAGACGGTCCAACGCCCGTTGAAGGCTGAAGCAGTCGTTGGTGTCATGGCCAACTTCCTCATGGTATTGGAAAAATTTATTTTTGTTCCTTGATTGAATGGAACTTTTCATTGGATTCGACTTCTCTAGGGACAACCGGTCCTTAATCTCCATGAGGATGGAGTTGCAGTCCTTGTTAAACTCGTACTTTGGGACGTACGGTTTAAATTCTTTCTTCTTCTTTTGGGACGGCTGGTCAGAATCACTAACCGCCCAGATTTCTTTTCTCTTCTTGCTCTCTTCTTTCTTTTTAGCCGGCTGAGCAGGCCGACTGTCTTTCTGCTTGTATTTGAGTCCGACTGGCTACCAGGCGAGCAGAGGTCGGTTGCTTGAATGTAGCTTTTCGCCTCCCTCGGGGCCGCCTGTAGGGTGAAAGCCCCCTTTTCTGACTAGGTCGAACTTAAAGGTCGACCCGTCTCTCAGACCCTTAAAAAAGTCTGTAAAAGCTACCTCATCAGACAGTCCCTGAATCTGAATTCTGATCAGATTGAACCGCCTGACATATGAGCGCAGCCCTTCTCTCTCTCCCTATTTAACAGTGCTCAAGTCAAGGCTTGTTTTCTTAGCAGGGATGTTCATTGAGAAGTTGGAAGCAAACAGGAAGGCGAGCTTCCTGAAACTATCGATGGACCCGGCTGGCAGATTACCAAACCATTGTTGGGCAATGCCCTTCAATGTAGCTGGGAAGCACCGACACAAAGTGGCATCATCCAACCCCTGCAGATACATGAGGTTGGTGTAAGCCATGAGGTGGTCTTCCGGATTGGTGGTACCATCATAGGTACCAACCAATACATTCTTAACCTTGGCCGGCTGGGCCGCCTCGGTTATCTCCCGGGTGAACGCAGAAGGCTGTTCACCCAGGCGAAGCAGACGGAGCTGCCAGTCCAATGGTTGGACATTTTGATACGCCGCCTGACCTCCAAAGAGAGCCGGCTGCATGAAGTAAGGGGGATACTGTCCGTAAACCTAAGTAGGCACGTACGGTACAACTCCAATCATATGAGGGCCAAAATGGACGGTATTACCGCCTGTCTGACTCTCATGCAAGGAGGGTGCACTCCCTGCAGAAATGTTGTTGAAGCTATCTGGAAAGTTCGACGTTGAAGCCGACTCAGACAGCGATTGGTTTATCTTCCGGTTTATGATCTCCCGGGCATCGAGAATTGATTTTTTGCTTCCCACCGGCTGCTGAGTCCGGCGGGTGTTGTTGTTGTTCCTCTTAGGAAGGAGAATTTTTGACCAATCAATGGTCCCGGCTGCCTTCTCTGTTGGATGAGGAGTGGGCTGCCGTTCTCTGACTGACTTCCCCTTCTCTGGAGGAGTCTTCTTCGCCGACTGACCTTTACTTGGGCCATCCCGGCTTTGGGTGATCAGCTCTTTCATTTCACCCTTAAAACTTGTCATGAATCTCATGAGTTCGTCTCGGGTGACAGGGGCTGATCATGCGGTCGTTTGGGTTTCCCCTTCCTGCTGCCCAGAGGGTCGGCTTGTACCCGCCTGGGAGGCACCCCGCTCCAAAGTGTTTTAATTTTATTGTTTACACTTTAATGACCGATTTTCGACCATAAAGCCAAGTCTCTAGCGTTTGACTTTCATTTTTCCAACATCCTGGTGTGCGTGTGACACACTTACCTCTTATTTTTATTTAAGTCAATTAAATTGTCTACACTATGCGTCGATTAAAGTATAACGCTTATTAAAACACTAAGGGAGTAAAATAAGTTTAATAAATTCAGTTAAATAAAATCAGGTAATGATATGTCTTAATGGAAAAATATGATCAGTAACATCTTATTTTTGTATTAAATTATCTTATAAAATTTTGATGCTATAAATCTATAAAGCATGGCCAATATAATCAAAGTTTATCTAATAATACATACTATCTACGTTTTCAAATTATTTGCAATGATTAGTTATTTTCCACTTACATTTTATGTCAAATTGTTGTAAATATTTTAAATTGAAAATAATATATTAGTAAAATATCGAAGTCAAATTGTGTAGTTTATTATTCTCTTCGTATCTGAATAATTTTTGCACTATTTACGTATTAATAAATAGTGCAAACAATACGAGACATAGGGATAAAAAAAGGAAGAAATAGAGGTCACAGAGACCATAATAACATAATGAAATTGCGAAAGTGCTCCACCCTATTTTGTTCACCACTAAAAATTGTTTAAAATTGGTATTTCTCTTTCCGAAACGGCGAAAACTAAAGGCAGCTCATCAATATGTGGGCCTTATGGGCAGCCCAGAGTCCAGAGCGAGTGGCCCATTAACTACATTTCCTCTTTTGTTTTTATTGATCAGACATCAATTTAACATTGAAATTAAAGCAGTACAGTATAGGAAAATTTAATATCTAAATTTGGTGGTTAGATCTTATTTTCAACACCCGAGGAAAACTAGATCTTGTCCTTTTCTAGTTATTGTACTCATATTCTGTATCTTGTATCTGGTCATTTGATTGCGTCTTATAACTTGTTCATTTTAACTAAGATATGATAAGATTGATAACTGATCGAATTATAAGGTATGGTGACTTTGATCTGATTTAATTTTTAAATTTGTGAAAGGATATTGACTGTGTATATACTAAGGTATTAAAAAAAGTTATTAAGACAATATTATTAGGTGTATTTCCAAATATACAATTACTAATCAAGTATACTAGTATAGTAAAAGGAAAACAATAATAAGTAATTACTAGAGCAATAAGTCTTCTATAGAGCAATAAGTCTTCTATAAAATAGAATTGCGTTATTATTTTTTATTTTTTTTTTGAAAAATGGTCATTTTACTTTAACAGTTTTTATACTAACGTTAACCCCTTAACGTTAATTTTGTATTTGTTATGAATTTGAATATTTGATTGTATTTTAATGTGTATATTGTAATGAATACATGTTATAATAGCTAATCTATACAATGTACTAAAATAATCGGCAAAGGGAATACTTGGCATAATTTTGTGAAAAAATTTCCCTCCAAAATGCTATTTATTTTTCTTTAAAAAATTCTATTAATAAATTAAAATTCTTTTAATAAATTTTATTTATGCAACACATAATTAAGAATTAAAAAATGGACATTAATAAATTTAATTTAAATTTGAAAAAAAATAAAATTGTTACATAAGTAATTTAATTTCAATTAACACTATTTAGTTAATTTCAATCGACTAATTATTAATAAATCTTACTTTATAAATCCGTGCATTGCACGGGGCCAAAAACTAGTATGATTAATTTAATACATTATAAACGTTATAAGTAAAAGGAAAAATTGCCCGGAATAATCCGACCTTTTGCCCGTCCGCTGAAAATAATCCCACCTTTGGATTATTTTTTAATAATCCCACCTTTATACCCATTCTGCTATAAATGGTCCCATTTTACTTGGAACCGACTAAGCAGATATTTTTTTTTTTTAAAGTAGAATTTACACGTGTTGCTCCTTAATTAGTAAAAAAATAAAAATAAAAAAGTAGTAAAAAAACCACCACCGCCACCTAAGCCACCCCAATTCAGCCACCACCACCCAACCTAAACCCTAGAACCACTATCCCACCCACACCTGAAACCACCAAGCTGACCGGAATCCCACCGAGCCAAGCCAACCTAAACCCACCCATTAACCCAAGTACCCAACCCCTTAACCACATTAACCATTTAACACAACCCCTCCTCTGTGGACGACGACGATGACGCGGCTGGAAACGGTGGACGGGGGAGACGCGACGCGACCAGAATCTGGGGATGGGGGAAGTCGGCGCGTCGGAGCTGGGTTTAAGGGAGTTGGTGCGTTTTTCGCGGACGGAGTCTGGGTTTAAGGGTTGGGTTTTCACGGGGGTAAGAGTGAGGGAGAGGATTGGTGGTTCATGGGAGGGGAGGGTAAGCCGGAGCCACGTGAATGGGGTTGGCCGGTTGGGGGTTGGCTTGGTTTCGTGAGGATTCGAGGGTGGTTCATGTGGAGGTTCGTGAGGGAGGGAGGGGTTCGAGGGTGGTTCAGGGAAGGGGGTTCGATTGTGGTTCAAGGGAGGGTGGCAGGGGAGGCCGGCGCGCCGGGATTGGTGGCAGGGGAGGCCAGCGTGCCGGATTGGTGGCAGGGGAGGTGCTTTGGGTGGTGGGTGGTTTCTAAATTAATTAATTGTTTTTTTTATTTTTTTTAATTTTATTTTTTTGACTAATTGGGTGCCGACACGTGGCTAGTAACTTGCTATAACAAGTTAACTAACCGATTTGGACCAATAAAAAAGATCGGGGGTAAAGGTGGGATTATTAAAAAATAATCCAAAGGTGGGGTTATTTTCAGCGGACGGGCAAAAGGTCGGATTATTGCGGGCAATTTTTCTTAAGTAAAAATATTGTTAAGAAAATGGTAACTTTTATACTATATAAAGATAACTTTATTTATACATTTTTAGGGCAACTTAAATCCTTTTTTATTAAAATAATTATCTCTATAAGATTATCTCAACATTAAAATCCTGTTCTTCATAGAATCATCTCAAAATGACATGCTACTTTGTATGTTATTACCTTTATTGATAATTGCAATCATGGAATCTATCAAAGTTTAACCTAATGCATGGTTGATAATTCAATTGTAATATTTTAAAGGTTGAAAGATAGTTATGATATTTCAACTCAAATTCAAGTTTAAAAGACAATACAACAAATTAAATCATCATTTGTTATTATAGCCTGCTACTCTGCTAGTAAGACATTAGCAATGTCATATTTGTGTAAGATCATAGTTACTTGCCTTGCTGGAGTAACTATGTAACCTGAAATTATGATACTACCTCCGGTCCAAATTACTCGCAACTTTGGGGTATTATTTATGAGAGATAAAATATTCCAAAGTTGCGAGTAATTTGGACCGGAGCTAGTATATCAAATACTAGCATAAGGGCTTGAATCTAATCACTTGAAAATCTCCAGGGATATGGGGAAGGAGCAAGTATGTTGGTGTCTCTCTGGTGGGGAAAACATTGGCTGTGATGGGATTTGGTAAGGTTGGATCAGAAGTTGCAAGACGAGCAAAAGGTCTAGGCATGCACGTTATTGCCCACGATCCTTATGCTCCGGCAGACAGAGCACGTGCAGTTGGTGTTGAGTTGGTTTCCTTCGACCAGGCCATCTCCACTGCTGATTTTATCTCCCTCCATATGCCTCTTACTCCAACAACTAAGAAAGTCTTCAATGATACCACCTTTTCTAAGATGAAGAAAGGTGCGCGTCTCATTAATGTTGCTAGGGGTGGTGTCATTGATGAAGATGCTTTGGTTAGGGCTCTCGACAGTGGCATAGTTGCTCAAGTAAAAACCTGTCTTATCAGTTATTGAATAGATGATCCTGGTCTACCTATGTTGTGGATTGACTAACAGCTGATTATTTTGTTGTACTAAATGATATGGAACAGGCAGCTCTTGATGTGTTCGCAGAGGAGCCCCCTGCCAAGGATAGCAAATTAGTGCAGCATGAAAATGTTACTGTCACACCTCATCTAGGAGCCAGCACCAAAGAAGCTCAGGTTAGTCTTTTTGAGCCAATGTAATTCCAATTTAACACTTTTCTTTGCCAAAATATCTTCATTGATCCACACTTCTGATATCAATCAGGAAGGAGTGGCTATTGAAATAGCAGAAGCTGTTATCGGAGCATTGAATGGGGAACTCTCTGCAACTGCAGTGAATGCACCAATGGTTCCTGCTGAGGTATTGATGAACCAACAAAAGTATTCATACTTGATTGAAACAGAAAAGGGAAAAAATCCATTTTTTTGTTGAGCACTTCTAAGGAGTAGTTTTGCTGCAGATTTTATCAGAACTAGCTCCTTACGTCCAGTTAGCTGAGAAGCTAGGGAGACTAGCAGTACAGCTGGTGGCTGGAGGAAGCGGGATCCAGACAATCAAAGTGTCGTACATAACAGCAAGAGGCCCAGATGACCTTGATACTAGACTCCTCAGAGCAATGATCACCAAAGGTATTATTGAGCCAATCTCTGATATGCACATCAACCTTGTCAATGCAGATTTCACTGCCAAGCAGAAGGGTCTCCGCATTAGTGAGGAGCGTGTTTCTGTTAATTCCTCCCCTGAGAACCCAATCGACTCTATCCAAATTCAAATTCCAAGTGTACAGTCGAAATTCGAGAGCACCATCACAGAGAAAGGGGATATAAGCATCGAAGGAAAAGTTAAGGATGGGATTCCCCATTTGACCCGTGTTGGATCTTTTGCAGTGGATGTAAGTCTCGAAGGGAACATTATCCTTTGCAGGCAAGTTGATCAACCAGGCATGATTGGCAAAGTAGGGATTATTCTTGCTGACCATAATGTGAACGTGAACTTTATGAGTGTTGGGAGGACTAGCAAGAAGCAGAAGGCTATAATGGCAATCGGTGTGGATGAAGAACCTGAAGAGGATGCTCTCAGGAAGATAGGCCAAGTTCCAGCTGTCGAAGAGTTCGTGTTCCTTAAACTTTAGGAAGCTTCAAGAGTGTAGAAAGAGATCATAGAATAATGGCTAGCTTCTGCATAACATTCAGAAGTAATAGGGTAATTATATCAGATAACCCTGCTTTGCATATGCAGCTCAAGGTTTCTGATCTCCCCCTATATGTGTGTGTTAGTAATAATATTTCAGGAACTTGAACTCTTTTTTGGGCTAATAATATGTTTTGGTACCATTAGTCCCCCCCACCCCCCACACTCCCTCACCCCGAGGAAAAAAAAAACGAATTTTGTCTGTTGAATATTTGATATATGAGCTCGAGTTGAAATTAGCTTCATATATCTATGTTATGTAATGTCCTTGTTTTATTACAATATATGCAGCGAGTTGGTTTGGGGTGCAATATGTATCAAGAGTTAAGAGCCTAACTATATTCATCCACTAAAATTTCACTCCTAAAACGGATAGTAATTAGAAAAAACAGCAAGTTTAGAACAAGGGAATGAAGTGACTACATAGGCTGTGTTTTGTTGGGAGAAGATCATTTTATTAGACTATTGCTCTTCAAATCTTACTTCGTTTCATTTGTGAAAGAGATTAATATTTTATTTGGTCCATCGATATTAGTTTTTGGTGGAAAATATTCTTCTTCATAAAGAAAGCAATGCCACATTTTTCTTCCTCTCTTTCATCCTCTTCCATTCATGTTCTGTACTTCTCTCACTAATTTATCTATAAAGGATTTAATTGAAGGAAATTCAAGTATAAAACGAGTTCACATTGAAATATGCTATTACTTTCAATTGAAGATGACATATAGTTGAATATGTTTTCCTTTGAACCAAATTATTTGGGAAGATTGAATTAGGAAGTGCTCAAATGCAATGCGATGGAGGGTCCATTAGTTTTACACCATTGACACCACTAAACAAATAACTAGAGATGTAAGATGCTACACTAGCTAGCCATCAGACCATACAGAGCAGTAATCATCATTTTGTAAGAAAGAGGAAAAACTGCTACAGAAACAATTTAGAGCTAGAAGAACTAGAGGGCCACTTATGATGCATGAAATATACACTTACACAGAAGGGTTACATCCATCGTCGTCCAAGACCACCATCGAAAACGCAAGAATGCAGATTGGCAGAACAAGGAGAGTTAGAATAATGAGCCTAAATAAAGCTACTAAGATTTCTTCCATCTTGCAGTATGATTGGTATCTTCTAATTGCTTCACAACATCTCTCATTGTTGGTCGCTTGCATGGATCTCTTTCTGTGCACTTGAGAGCTATAGAAAGGACGTCATATACTTGTTCCATGATCTCAGAATCCACAAATTCCTCACGGAGGGCTTCGTCAATCACATGGTCAATCTGTTCAGAACAGTCCAAAGCTGACCTGACCCATCCGACTATATCCATTCCCTCAGGGAATGATGCATCAACTGCTTTCTTCCTGGTCAAAAGTTCAAGCAATACAACCCCATAGCTATAAACATCTGACTTAGTACTTCTCTTTGTTGCATAAGCATTTTCTGTTAAATTAACACGGGAACATATAGTGTTATCAGCAGTTCAGCATTCTTAGCTTAAAGGCAATATTAATATCAATATGAAGTCTCGAGTATATATATATATATATATATATATATATATATATATATATATATATATATATATATATATATATATACGAAAATTGAATATTCTATGGGTGATTCATAGTGTTGTACACCTTGTAGTTGTTATGGGGTAATTTTGTACAATGGTTGACCGATAATGATAGTCAACGATCGATGCTACAAGACCGGGTCAAGATAGTTACGAGTGCTCCCTAGAATCAAGGAGAGACAATGGGTCAACAAGAATCAATCTTCAAGATTGTTACTATGTATCTACACCCTAGAACAAGTCCTAGTTCATTAAAAGAGCAAGTAAAGGAATCAACCACTACTCCACCAATTAAGAAAGCGGGTGAGAGAATCAAGGAACCACTATGCAACAGCCACCCAAATATCTCTCCAACCTACTCTTGGAAGTTTTATAAATAGAAGTCTTCCTCCCATGAAATGAAGTCACAACCTACGGATACTAGCCTCCCATGCAACTAAATACAAGCCTAAGTTCTCCCCACTACCTACATACTACTCCTGCGAAATATATCCATACATGAGCTTAGACCACATATGAATTCCACTAAAACCCACAAGTATCATTTGCAGCCTCATTTTCCGTATGCCCTCGTAACTATTCTTATTATTTCCTAAACCACTTGTATAATCCACTTACCATCTACTATATTGTATACCCTTCATAATCTCCATACAAACATCTTTTTACCCACAAATGTGTCACATACCTCCTAGCCATATTACGAGATTGATACACTCCATTTACTTTGTATTTATCTACGTTGTATTTCATATGCACCAAACACGCATTGTACTTGTAATTATTGGCTTTATGCCCGTATTATAGTGGATTGGTGGACTCATTGCCACCCGCGGTTTTTACCCACCTTTATTGGGGTTTTCCGCGTCACCATATCATGTCTCCTCCCTCTCCCTTTATTTTTCTGTCATTTACATTCCGCATTCCATACTCCTTATTTTAATTTAGTTGATTCGTAGCCCGTATCCCACATCAAATCCTACTTGACGAAATTTAGCATAAACAGTAGTCATCTTGTAGATACATTTTAGGAAGGGAAAGGCAAAAAAAGCAAAAGTTGATAGACAAAGTTAGAACTAACACTTGAGAGTTGTGGAACAGTCCAAAATAGAAGATCAGCAAGATAATAGATGAAAAACAAAACCCTAGAAATGGTACCTGGTGCAATATAGCCGGTTGTCCCAGAAATTGCAAGAGATTGAATTGAAGTTGGTGATTGATCTAAAAGCTTAGCAATGCCGAAGTCAGAGATGTGAGGCTCCAATTCTGAGTCCAAAAGTATGTTTTCAGGCTTGATATCACGGTGTATGATAGCAGGAACACAATCAAAATGAAGGTATGCCAATCCATGTGCCATTCCAAGAGCTATCTTATATCTTATATCCCATAGCAATAAAAGAGGATCTGTCTGCTGGAGAACATCACGAAGGCTTCCGTTTTCCATGTATTTATACAGTATCAAGCCATAACCCTTCCTCAACCAAAAACCTTCCAATTTAACTAAATTTCGATGCCTGATTTTCCCAAGTGTCTGCACTTCTCTAACCATACTCTCATTTGCACCAGTCTGACCACCAAAATCAAGCTTCTTGACAGCATAGACATCTTCTGGAGCCAATGAGGCTTTGTAGACAGTTCCATGAGCTCCTCTACCAACGGCGTATTTGTCATTCAGATTTTCAGTAGCCTCCATGATTTTGCTGAGCAGAAAGGACGTACCTTCCTGATTTGATAATTCAATGTCTTCTTTCTGTCTTCCTTGACTTCTGACACAGATATAACAGATTAAAAGGGCAAGAAGCACCACAAAGAGCAATGACCCAAGAGCTATAATTGCTATGTGAATACTGTCCAATCGGCTTTTAGAGCTTTTCCTCCCTAGCACATCATCACATGGCCTTACGTACCTTTGTGCTGTGCAATTAGAATCAGTGGCATGAGAGCAGTCAACACAAAGTGCAGAATTTCCCAAGAACGATGATGGTGATATGTTCAACAGGTTCGATAGTGTTGAGGGTATTGGACCAGAGAACAGATTGTATGAGACATTAACCTCAACCAAAGAAGGCATATTACCGAGAGTGGCCAAGGATCCCGATAGATTGTTGTGAGACACGTCCAGCTGCTGTAGATTGGCTAATCCCCCCAGAGAAGAAGGTAATTCACCGGTTAGCTTATTGTTGCTAAGATTTAAAGTGTATTTCAAATTTGTCAACAAGCCAATTGAAGAAGGAATTTGTCCTCTGAATAAATTGCCACCAAGTTGAAGTTCTGAGAGCATTCGGAGTTCTGATAGAAAAGGAGGAATTCCTCCAGTAAGACTATTCTCTCTTAAATTCAAGGTAGATATGGCTTCCCAGCTTCTTAGAGTCGGTGGAATTGACCCATTCAAGGAATTGAAAGTGGCATCAAATTGAAGCAACTTATTCCAGTTCCCTAGCTGGGGTGGCAATGATCCTCCTAAACAATTGTGAGATAGGTTCGCTGCCTGAAGATTTATCAAGTTTCCAAGCTCTGGAGGCAAAAATCCAGTAAGCTTGTTCAATGACAGATTGATTGTGGTGATATTACGACAATTCCCAAGGCTTGGTGGCACTTTTCCGCTAATATTATTTTCACTTAAGTCCATGAAAATGAGACTGTGATGCTCAGCAAATTCAGGAAGTCTCCCTGCCAGGTTATTTTGCTCAAGTCTTAACCTAGTCAAACTTGAGCAACTTCCAATATCAGGGGGTATGCTACCACTGAACATATTTTGACCTAAGTTAAGAACCTTTAGCTGCTTACCAAAACAAAGGTGAGGAGGAATTTCACCAGTGAATTTGTTGTTTGTAAATTCAATCTGCACCAAACTATTATTGATCCCCAAACCTCGTGGTATGACCCCAGAAAAATGGTTCTCATGTAAGGAAATGTTCTTGAGATTCTTCATCTTCGTCAGTTCCTGAGGTAGCTCCCCTGATAAGTTGTTGCTATAAATAATAACATCCTGAAGGGTCTGAATTTTCCAAATACTAAGTGGAAACTCTCCTGACAGTCGATTTTCAAACAATTCAAGGTTGCTCAATTTACTTAGAGACCCCAATTCACTAGGAATCTCACCCTCAAGTTTGTTCTCTTTCAATTGTAATTCAGTCAAGGACCTACAGTTCCTAAGTTCCGGAGGTATCTTCCCTGACAGAGAGTTCTCTGCAAGGTACAGTTTAGAAAGTTTGGAAAGCTGACCTAATGAAGCCGGGATCTTTCCCGTTAAGAGATTATTTACTACAGCAAAAAGCTCCAGGTTGCTGCAGTTACCCAAGCCATGAGGTATACCACCACGAAATTTATTAAATGACAAAACGAGCTCAATCAAATGCTCACAACTACCAGAACCTAAGGGAATGGTACCTTCCAACTTGTTTTTGCTAACATCCAGATAGGCCAAATTAAGGTTATTTAGACTCTCAGGCAAAACACCCACCAGCTGATTATCATTCAAATAGACAACTTCAAGGGCAGAACAATTGCCTATGGAAGAAGGTATAATGCCAAATAACTGATTGTCATACAGATAAAGAGAAACAAGTTCACTAGCATTGCCAATATTGGAAGGAATTGAACCAGTAAGCTTGTTATCATTCAGAAAGAGTGACTGCAAATGTGGGATCCGAAACAACGATTCCGGAATCCGAGATGTTAAAGAGTTGCTAAACAAGCTAAGAGCCAATAAGTTATGCAAATTCCCTAAGGTTTCAGGAATTTCACCAGTGAAATTGTTGTTTGAAAGGTCCAAATACTCAAGAAGACTACAATTGGAAATCTCAGCAGGAATTTCACCAGAAAAGGAGTTATAACCAAGATCAATAGTATTCAAATGAGATAATTGACCAATTTCAGGGCCTAAAATCCCAGAAATCCCAAAATTTGACAAGTTGAGAGAAACTACATGATGGGTTTTGTCACATTGAACACCAACCCATGAACATGAGCTAAAATTGGAAGAAACCCAGTTAAATTTAACTGAATTAGGAACAACCCAATTAGCTAAAAGTGATGTTAAAGCCTTTTCATCTGAACTCACAGAGAATGCAGTTCTAAACAAAAAAGACATGAAAATTGACAAGAAAACAGTGTAAATGAAGCTCTTAACTTCTGCCATTACAAATCTAACTAGGAAATTGAAAGATAGAGAAGAAAAATACCAACTTTGAAGGGTGAAATGTTTGGAATCACTTCATTTGGAACATGATAATAGAACCCACCAGAAAATTTACGACTAAACGAGTTAATAGCAAGTACAGAAAAAATTAATTGAATAGTGAACAAAGGCAGTATAAATGTCGAAGTATTAAAGAAGAAGAATAATGAAAAATGTGTTTCTGATACCGAGTAGTATAAATTCCACGCGGTTTCAAACTTTCAATATTCAGTGTCCACTAGCCACGGTCTTTGTCCTAGTGCATTACTACTGCAGCAAAGTTTGGTGTGAACAAGTATGAACAGTTGAACACTAGTTCCTCTAACAAAAAAAAAAAATTACTTAATTTAATTTTTTTTTTTGAAGGAACTTTTTTTTTAATTTAACTATCCATCAATTGAATTAATTATACTTTGGTCATTTTACATTCGTGTGTTGCTTGGTGGGTGCTTGAATGGTTGTACAAACTTGTGAGCTATGATATGATTAATATTCCATTCGGTTTATAATAATCAAAATGCTTTGATCGACACATATCAATATGTAGTTTTGACAAATGAAAATTAATATTTGTATTTGAAAGAATTCTTTTCCGTGAGATTTCCATTCCATTCACTATGAATATATACAAATTACATGCTCTAATCAAGCCACTAATTATGCTAAGAGATATACATCAAAATATTCATAGCTACAAACTAGGAAACTAATATATACAAAGTCAAAGATATATTAACAACTAATATATCTTAACACACCCCCATAGTCTAAGCGGGAGGAGGGCGAACACTTAGAGTATCCTTGAAGTCTTCAAAAAGTACACGAGGGAGCCCCTTTGTAAAAATATCTGCAATTTGGTGCCTAGAAGGAACATGAAGAACACGCACCTCACCACGTGCTACCTTTTCCCGAACAAACAAAATGTCCATCTCTATATGCTTTGTTCGTTGATGATGCACTGGATTGCCAGAAAGATAAATAGCACTCACATTGTCACAATACACCAATGTTGCCTTTTTAATCGGACAATGTAACTCCAAAAGTAAGTTTCGAAGCCAACATGACTCAGAAACCACATTAGCAACGCCCCTATACTCTGCCTCGGCACTAGACTTAGATAGAGTCGGTTTCCGTTTCGAGGACCAAGAAACCAAATTATCACCAACACACAATATCCAGATGTGGAGCGTCTAGTATCCGGACATCCGGGCAAATCATCATCTGTATATGACACAAGAGATGAAATAGAGGACGGATACAGATGCAAACCATGGTCAATAGTGCCCTGAACATACCGAATGACACGTTTGAGAGCCGCCATATGACTCTCTTTCGGATCATGCATATGTAAGCAAACCTGTTGGACCGCATATGATATATCTGGTCTAGTAAAAGTAAGATACTGCAAGGCTCCTGCAAGACTACGATACAATGTAGGATCAGTACAAGGAGAACCTGTAGAATTGTCCTTCGGTTTGACCTCAACGGGTGTAGCCGAAGGTTTGCACGAAGCCATCCCTGCTCGGTCAATAATTTCCTCCGCATATTTGCGTTGCGACAAAAATAATCCACCCTTATGTTTTGTCACTGCTATGCCAAGAAAATATTTAAGCAGACCCAAATCCTTCATAGCAAATTCCGAGCTAAGAAGGGACATAATAGAACGTCGCAGAGAATCAGAAGAAGCAGTAAGAATAATGTCATCAACATATAAAAGCAGATAAGCCACATTGTTCCCCTGACGATAAATAAATAGGGAATTGTCACTCTTACTATTAGTGAAACCAATAGAAGCAACATAATCTGCAAACCTCTTATACCACGCCCGGGGTGCCTGCTTAAGACCATATAATGAGCCTCGTAATAAACACACATAATCAGGGTGAGTTTTATCACGGTACCCAAGGGGTTGATGCATATAGACCGTTTCCTCAAGCTTACCATGCAGAAATGCGTTCTTAACATCAAGCTGATGGATCGACCAAGCTTTAGATAAAGCAAGGCTAAGAACAGTACGGATAGTAGCCGGTTTCACCACCGGACTAAAAGTCTCCCCACAATCAATGCCAACCTGTTGTGTTTTGCCATCACCTACAAGACGGGCCTTATGCCTCTCAAAAGAACCGCCAGATTTCACCTTATGAGTAAAAATCCACATAGAACGAATAACATTGACATCAGGCGGACGCGGCACCAACTCCCACGTCTTATTTTTAATAAGAGCATTAAATTAATCATCCATTGCCATTTTCCAATTCGGGTCACGAAGAGCAGAAATGGGGTTACGAGGGAGAGGGGACTTCGTAACATTAGAAACCATAGTGTTGAAATTTTTATACTTCAAATTTGGGTTAAAAATCCCATTTTTGCTTCTCGTGGTAATAGAAGAAGGAATAGAAGGAGTTGGATCATGAACATGTGGGCTAGGGGGAGGAATTGGGTTTGCTGAGTGGGTAGGCCGCGAGTGGGCCGTGGCTGAGTGAACAGGCCCACGGTCCACCAGTGGCCTATTCTGCGCAACATCAGCGCCCAAGGAAGGAGGGGAAATGGGAGAGAATGGTGGGCTGCGGTGTGGGCTCGTAGGGGGGGAAGGAGCACGCGGCCCAGAAGAAGAAAGAGGAGGAGGATGGAGAGGTGGGCTCGTAGAAGTAGCTGGCCCAGAAGATGTTTGGGCTTCAGTAGAGGGCTGCCCAAACGGTGGAGAATCAAGCTGCATTTGGTGAGTGATAGAAGGATGAATTTCGTCATCCAAAAAATCATATGTGTGAGAAGAGGGAGTATGCAACTTAGAAAATGGAAAAACCGATTCATCAAACACAACATGTCGGCTTATGAAAATCTTACGAGAAGATAAATCATAACACTTGTAACCCCTATGATTAGACAGAAACCCCAAGAAAACACAAGGTGTAGAACGAGGTTGAAGTTTATTAATCGTAGTAGACGGGAAAAGGGGGTAACACAAGCAACCAAAAACACGTAAATGAGAATAAGACGGCTTTCTTTGATATAGAACCTCTAGAGGAGACTTAGACTCGAGTAACTTACTTGGAATTATATTATGAAGATAAGTAGCCATTTGTAACGCATGATGCCAAAAAGATGGAGGTAAAGAGGCATGTGCAAGAAGTGTGCGAATAATATTGTTCAATGACCTTATTTTTCTCTCGGATTTCCCATTTTGAGACGAGGTATGGGGACATGAAAGACGAAATGACAGCCCATTAGACTCACACATAGCCCAAAAAGGTCTGTTATCATATTCCCTCCCATTATCACATTGAAATGTTTTAATAGGTCGGTCAAATTGGGTTCGTATTAATGATTGAAATGCTAAGACCTTATCAAAAACATCCGATTTCTTAGCTAAGGGAAATGTCCACAAAAATTTCGAAAAATCATCCAAAAGAAGCATATAATAACGGTGACCTGATGAACTCAAAACAGGTGATGACCAAAGATCACTATGAACAATATCAAAAGGCATAGTAGTAGTAGAAATAGAAGAAGCAAATGGCAATTTAATATGTTTTCCAAGTACACATGAATGACAAACACTTGAACTAGAAGAGGAGTGAGTACATTCAATGCTTTTATTATTACTAAGAGTCTTTAAAATAGAAGCTCCCGGATGTCCCAATCTATCATGCCAAAAAGAAGAGGCTAAGGCCGTAAAGGTTGATGGAGAAGAGCGTGAGGAAGTGGTAGTGAGTGGATAAAGGTCCCCTTGGCTATCACATCTCATTATGGGCATCCCCGTCCGATAGTCCTTCACAGAAAAACCATAAGGGTCAAACTCAACAGACACACAATTATCAGTGGTAAATCTACGAACAGAGATTAGATTTTTAATGAGTTTTGGGGCATGTAGGACATTAGAGAGAGACAATGGAGGATTAGGGGATGGCAAAGTAGTATTTCCACAACCACGAATTGGAATAGTATGACCACTACCAACAACAATACTATTATGATGATTGCTCAAATTAAAATAAGACGAGAGATTACCGGTGGTGGATGTCATATGAGAAGTAGCGCCGGTGTCCATGTACCACGAAGGATCGAGCTGCTGTAGAGACATGGTGTGGAAAGCCGACTCCAAGTCAGTTAGAACATAAGAAGGAGATTGAGAGGCCGCATATGCTTGTTGTTGAGGTCGTGGACCAAGAACACCTTGTTGCTGCCTTGTTGGGCCTTGAGGCCTAGCCCAACCTTGGGTTGGAAATGGGCAAGGAGGAGCAGCCCACGGCCAACCCCAAGGTGGGTAAGCTTGCTGCTGCCAGAACGGAGCCACGCCCCACTGCTGCTGCTGCTGACTGCCGCCACGGTTACCACCCCCGGCGCCGGAATTCAGACCACCTCCGGCGGCTGGACCACGGCCACCACTGTGCTGCCCCTTTTTCCCAGAATTTTTCTTATGATTTTTTCCCTTTCCGCGAGTATTACCCGAGCTATCCGAACCCGAATCACCATCACGAGAGGACGCCACCAAAGCTGAAGCAGAACCCGAAGTCATGGCTGCCCGTTTTGCCAAGCCCGCCTCCTCCAAGATAAGCATGGATCGGGCTTGGTAAAAGTGAGGTAGGGGAGAGCTTTGACGGATAAGTGTAGCAACACCATTATACGGTTCGGTGAGACCCAAAACCAACTGTAGAACAAGTCTGTTATTGTCCACCGGAGCTCCAACATTGCGCAACTGATCGGAGAGACCTTTGAGTCTTTGACAGTAGGCTGATGCGTTTGGAAAGTCCTCCATTTTAGTAGAGGAAAATTCTTGTTCAAGAGTTACGGCGCGATATTTTTGATTGTCTTGGAATATATCACGCAACCGATTCCAAGCCTCCATTGTCGTAGCATCGGGTTCCATAATTGTCTCCAAGAGATCACCAGAAATAGTGGAGTAAATCCACGAGATTACGGCAACATCTAATGTAGACCACCACTTCTTTTCCGCGACAGTAAGAGTAGGAGTTTCCTTCGCCTTGTCATTGGTCAGGGGAGGGATAATATGGTGTAGAACCCGGTGAGAACGAGCGTGAATTTTAAAGAGTTCCGCCCAAGTAGAGTATTGTGAGGTATCAAGAGTAAGAACCATCGGAATGGATGTCTTGATGTTATTCACGGTGAGAGCGGGGTGATACGAGGTCTTTGAATCCCCCATAGAGAAAAAAAAACAGAGAGGAGATGAGATGAGAAACAGAGAGGAAGGAAGAAGAGGGCGGAAAATTCAGTTA